GTCTCTGGGGAAGCTCTTGGAGCCTACAGAGAACATGGGGGTGTGCGTGGGATGGGGATCCTGGTCCCATCCCTTTGGATTCTGAGTAACACCTGGGTGTGGGAAGCAGCTTCTTAGCAGTGCCTGTGGGGTCAGACAACACAGAAAACTCCAGCTGGGAAGAAGGGCAAGTGTTGCAAAGTACCAATAGGCTCTAGTCACTCCCAGTGCGCCCCTCACTCCTCCCCACACTATTAACCTCAGGGTGAAGCAATGGAGAGAGGCAAGTCAAGTCTACAGAACTGTCCTGGACAGATCTCCTTCCTCTTCCTCTCCACCAGCTCTAAGGTTTATTAAGTACCTAATGTTAACAGCCTGGCCCCATTCCCCTTGACTGGACGGACCCTTCCCACCGTCTACACCCAGAGAGCAGGAGGCAGGACTGACTAGCTCCACTGGATGGATCCTGGATGCCTGAGGTTCTAGTTCTTTAAGGTTCACTTCCGGAAGCTGCTCTCTGGGATAAACAAAGTACGCCTTCGCAGTTTCCGGCCAGATCCTTCCTCCAGCAAGTAGGTCACATCGATGGCTGAAAATAGAACCAAGGGGAGACTCATTAATGTCACACTTTCCTACTCCCTACTTCTGAACCTGAGCTCTAAGGGGGTCATGCCAAGTTCAATCCAATTCCTTCCTGACATAAAGCAACCTTGAGCCTTCCTCCTATCCCCAATGAAGGAGGTTCCCAGGGAGAAGGTCCTCCCACCTGCCAAAGTCTCTTTCATAACATGACAGACGTAAAATGTCCTCCTGAGGCTCCCTGGAAATGCCTCTACTGCTAGTCTTCCTTTAACTGCTTCAGGTACGTAATTTATTCACTTAGGCTTATCCTCTAGAATTATTTTTGCTGTGGTGGTTGTTTTACTGTTAAAATATTTCATGTATAAAAGCATGAGACATATAACAAGCCAGCCACCCATTCACTCTTAGACTTACACAAATGCCTATCTTTGGAATGAAAAACAACAACAAACTCTCCCTCCCCTGCAAAAAAACCTACAACAAAACATTGCTGAATATGTAAAGGGGGGGGGGAGAGGCCTATGGAAGAAGTGTAACATTTTCATCTTGTGCTAATTACAAATTACGCCTACTCATGCGATTTTCATTTATTTCCCATTTATACTAGCCTAGTTGTGGGCCTGTTCCTTACCATTCTTCCCAGGGATTTTCTCAAGGAGATTGAGCAAGATCTGGTTGAGTCGCTCCCGCTGGTTATGCCGTCGTTCCTCAGGGGTGCAGGCTGGCTGAGATTCGGGACTACTTTCCTCTTGTTTCTTTTCTCCCTCATTGACTTCAGCAATGCCCCCCTCGGGTTCTGGCTCCTCTAAGCTGGGCATCTCGTTGGCTGCTTGCTCCTGACTGGCCAGGACCTCCTCAATCAAGGGCAGAGCGTCGTCTTCCTGGCCCAGGTCTTTCAGAGGTGGCTTTGAACGCTCAGACTTCCAGGATGATCTGTTAGAAGGGGAGGTGAATTTAGAGCAAGGCTAAGAAGGGCATTTGGGGATGGAAGAGGAGTGAAGGGTAGAGGCCTTAGGATGACACTGGGATCTTAAAAAGTAGCTCTTAGAGCCGAGATGCAAGAGGGAGGAACTTGGCACTGGTCATCAATCCATTATTTCATTATTATTATTTGAACAAATCACTATCTTTCCTGGAAATTTAATTTCTTATTTGTAAAATCAATCTTTTTTCTTTCTCTCAGAATCTGAAGCAGCCATGATAATACAAGTCCATAAAACATAATAAAATTGGTAAAATTGCTTAGCTGTTTCTTATTGACTGCTATATGAGTACAGAGAAATACGGCCAGATCTGTGATATTACAGGCCAACCATGACATCAGGTAAAGAATTAATGCCTAGATCTGTGATATTAGAGGCCAACCATGACGCCAGGTAGAGAAATACGGCTCAGATCTGTGATACTGCATGACTTTAGGTGGTGGTGAGTTGGCTCTAACTCAGAGTGCCCCTACATACAATGGAATACTCCTCGACCTGATCCTGTACCATCCTCCAATCTCTGCTGTGATTAAGTCGACTGTCTGAGTCACATGTAACAAGTAAGTGGGTGTTTTCTTTTCCTGAATCCTTTTCACATCTAGCATTTGTTTTCTTGTGGTAAGACATTTTCATAGTTAAAGAGTTATTTCCCTACTTGACAGAGGACAAAACTGAAGAAGAGCCTTCTGTGATTGCTCCAAGAGTACCCTACTCATAAGGCAAGAAAAAAACTAAAGCTGTGAACTCAAACCAAACTGCTCTTTGCTCAGTTAAAGTGGTGTACTTTTGTTCTGTGACAGAGGCCCCAAGAGTCTCTAGGAATACTGGGGCAATCTTGAGGGATCTAAAGAGAGACTTTTCTGAGTCTCTGGAATGAACTCTGTTCCAAATCGATCTCTACTCTTCGGACAGCTCCTCTAAATCCACCCTAGCTAAGGCTTAAAGTTGATTTCCACTGTATTAGTGTTGGCACTGTAGTTAGCTTAGGTTTCAGGAAATCCCCAGTACTAGGGTAGGTGGTGGTTAGGGTCTGGCCAAACCCTTAGGGTCCTCACATCCCCTGTGGGACTCACCGTCCTCCATTCCTCTTGTAGTTGTCTGGGACATAATGAGGCTGCAGAGAAGAAAAGAGAGAGGTGAGCATGCAGCTGGTAAAGCTGGGTCAGATGATCTGGGCCCAAGTCGTCATAAAGGAGCTGGGGAGGTAGGAAGGGAAGAGGTATGGAGGAAAAAAGCAGAAAAACATAAGGCCAAAGGCCTTGCAAACTGAGGGATTAGGTTTTAAGGACAGGGATTCAGTCTTTCAATCAGTCTATGTCACAGCTGGCTTTCAGCATTTTTTAATTCTAGAATGACAGAAGAAAGGATAAACTCATAATCTTTTCTGATTTACACTACTTCTTAAATAGTTAAGACAAGGGTTTCAAAGCCAACCTATGACTACTCCATTGCTGATTTAACAAGGTCAGCAAAAACCAGAAGAGAGGAAGGAAACGGATAGTGAGAAGGGAAAAGACATAATACTGTTTGGAGAAAGTAAGATAGGAAACATAGCAAACATTAAGGTTTACTTTTTGCTTAGGCTATTTCTAAGAATTCCAGGATGCTGGGTACCCATTTTGATAGGCCCAGGGAAAGCACACTCCAGGATGAGGAGCTCCTCATAGGACTTCATCAGGACAAACAGGTGACCCAATCTTTATGACGTGAAAAATGGTACAGGATAATCAGTGGAGTACTCAACGATTTGAAAGAAACAGTGTACAGAAAAGAAGGGTGGAAAATATCAAAATCTTAGAGGTTATTTTCCAGACAATGGAATAATCTGCTTATGAGAACTTCCTCTATCGTTCAAATTTTATTCATGATTATATCTTAAATGTTTAATCCAGTACCACATCTAGCAAAAAGCTTTATTAACAATGTAAATGATCTTATCATATACAATAAAAGTTAACAACTCATGGACAAAAAAACCAAAAATGTTTAATCCAGGACAGATTATCTCCACACACTGCTTCGTTAAGAGGGATACTTACTGAGAAATCCCTTTTGGGAGTGAGCTTCTTGGGGAAGTGATCAAAGGCGTAGGGTTTGGTACAGACAGGGTAACGGTTCCGGTGGATCTTGTAAAACAGGTGTGCTGACTTGTCTAGCCGATAGTCACAGATGTACACATCTTGCTCTTTCACACCTTTAGGTCGCCCTAAGTGGACATACACTGTTGCAGAACCCTCTTATGTCCCCTTGCCTCACCCCAAGTTGCCCAGAGACCACCCACACCATCAGGACAGGAGCTAGAACAGCAGTAGCACATCAGTTTTCATTTTGTTCTATTTCAAGTGACCTAGCTTCTTTCCCCCTCCTTGCTTCTTGTTTTGTCCCACAGTTTGTTGTTTAAAGGGCCAAATTATTCAATGGTGATAGTGGTTTTATTTTATAACCTAATCTATTATTTGGCTGAAAGAGGACCTCTAAGAATAGCTTCAAATCTAAGTTCAGAGTTTATTTTTGAGTCACAGTCTTTATGGTCCAGTAGGTCTGACAATTTTTGGGCATTTAAATTTTGTTTTACATTTCTCTCCTTTTCTAGCTAGGGCCTGCCACTGTATGTCTATTCAGAATGTCGGGTGGTAGTAGCTGGGGACCAGCTAGCTCTAGTCTCAGGGTATGGTTGTACTGGTTCTGTGGATTAGATTCTTTGAGTCTTTGATTTCCTTTATTCTTTTATGGACCATATGAGTAGATAGTAATAATAGTATCTTAGATAACTGCTTACAAACTGTTAAAAGCCCAGATGCTACTCCCTAAACTAGGATGTAGAACATGATTTTTATGAACTCTGCTATTCTAATTGACTAAGCTGTTCCTCAAGACTATGGTCCCATGTCTTTTAATCTAGTAAACCAATTGCCTGAATTGTTTTACTATGTCTAGGAAGTTTCAATAATTATTGTCTCCTATGCACGGCTATATATGCAGCCACACAAATGCATGTGTACATCCTAATGCCTTCACATGAACAAGCATTTATCTGTGTATACCTTCTTATATACATATTTGCCTATATAACCACACACATTTTTTGATGGTTGTTATTGCTGCTGCAAAACTGTACATCACAGTATTTTCTGAAATTGTCCTTTTTTCTTGTTTATTTCTTAGTGTCTTTATTTATTCACCTTGGTCAAGGTGTGCTGAATTCATCTACATATAATATTGCCATTCCCATCATAAAAAATAACAAGTATCCACTTTCTACCTCCATTTCCCTCTATGCCTAATGACTTTCAAACTCCATACTAATTCCCATTTTCAGTGGGAAAATGGATACATACTTAAGTTATGAACTCCAAAAGCACATACGTAAATGTTGGTGGAACTAGAATTTGATATTAGATTTCTGACTCCATAGCTGCCAACCATGAAGCTTGTAAAACTATTTTGCTCTTATTTGCTATTATTTTTAAGGTACAGGGTTGATGAAGGAACGTATCTCTCTATAAATCTTAATAGTGTGATAGATAAACAGTAGTTATGAAAGTAATTTCTCAGTTATCCCAGATCACTTACCTTTACAGTATGTATAAAGATCCAATACACAGCAAGTCCCCACTACAGCCTCCAGGGGAATGATCTCATACAGGGGCACACGGAAGAGTTCGTTGTGATAGAACCGACGGGAAGGAGAGTGGTGAGTTTCATGGGGACGGAAATAATGATGACCAAAGGCAAAGCGTTCTTCTCTGTTTGAAAAAAAAAAGGCAGCAGAGGTTGAGTTGGTACAGCAAAAAATCTGGTGAATACTCAGCTGCTGCTAGGGCCTAGGTAGAAGACAGAACCTCAACACATACTTTTCATTCTTCCAAAGCTTCTCGATTCGGAAGATGTCAAGTTTATCTCGGTTAATGTGAGATAACAGTCGGTAGGACTGACGAACTGGGTGACCATCAGGGGTGCGCCGACTATCTCTCATCAGATACACACAGTCACCTAGCACAACACAGAACACAGGAAAGAGTTAAAATGATTTTTGCATAATTTTCTGCAACCAAAGGTTCACATGGAAGACAATATAATATAAATGCAGAGAGCTAAAGCTAGCAGTCTAATGGTTAAGACAGCCAATTCTAGACTGCGAGAATGACACAGGATGATCTCTCATCTCTTGGGCCTCCTATATGCTCTCCTGTGCAACTTACTACCTCTAAAAACCCACTGGCAGTCAGCTATATGTCTGTTCTGACTTGATGGCACACAACAAGTCTTAAAATTAACTTTTTAACATTCTAGTCTCTCCAAATTAGTTTTTATCCCCCAAAATGAGTTTTATTTAGTGGAAGAATAACACAGATTACACAATAGGAAAACTTCTATCTAAAGGAACTATAGTGGTGTAATGGGTAAGGTTTATGCTGCCAACCCAAAGGCAAGCCAGCTTGAATCAACCACTGCTCCAAAGTAGAAAGACGGGCCATCTCCTCCCAGGTGACTTACAGCCTCTGAAAACTGACTGGAGGGTCAGCTATGATTTTGTTCTGACTTAATGGCACATAACAACAGTAACATCATATCCTATGGAGCTCTGGTGGCCTAGGGGATAAGAAGTTGTGCTGCCCATCCAAAGGCAGGCGGTATGGATCCACCAGTGGCTTTGAGGAAGAAAGATGGGGGATCTCCTCCTGTGAAGTTTACAGCCTCTGAAAACCTGCTAGAGGTTCAGCTATGAGGTGGTTTTCTTTATATAATATTGGTCATATGGACACAAGTGTATTATGCAGACAGCAAATACCTCCGACTACTCAGAAAGGTCAGCTTGGACAAGAAGGGTCAGCTCCTGTGCACGCACCTTGACGAAGTAGCAAGTCATCTCGCAGCAAACAGATGAAGTAGACACAGCCAGGCTGGGCATAGTGGGGCCGAGGAATCATGGGTACTTCCTGATAAGAGCAGAAAGCCAATGGATAAGGGCTGGAACTGTACATCCAGCCTATTGTGCTCTATTCAAGAGAGGAAAAGAACTAAAGCCTAGAATTCCCAATCAATTAAGATGTTTTCTTTAGTCATTTACATGTATCACAGATACAAAAAAAAAAAAGCAGCTACAGTTGTTAGACCTGAAAAAAAAGCAAAGATAGGGGACAAACTGGAGAGATGCTAATCAAATGGTTACTCTGGGCCTTCTAGAAAGCATATGAAAATGTGTGAAGGGTAACTCTGATTGTTGCAATGATCAGCGGATACTACTGATCATTCAAAGGCCAGGGAAGTCAAACATACACTGCATTTGTCACAATAAAGAACCAGTCATCAAAATCACAACAGCCCACTGTCAAGAACTATGGTCTAAGCCTCTCATTTTATGGAAGTAACTTGGTCAAGATCCACAAGGAAGTCAAGAACTTAGTATCTTGAACAAGTCATTCACCAGCTCTCAGATTTCTGTCAAGGAGTCCCAAGACGAACTGTGGTTAATTCTGAATTTAGTGCACTTTTCACTGTTAACCACCACATAATATGAGTGATACTTAGAGTGCTCCAGTTTTGGATTTTACAAGCAACTTCATTTTCCTTTTTCAAAATATTTTCTCGTGATTTAGGTGAAAGTTTACAGAGCAATTTAGTTTCCTGTCCAACAATTACCACATATTTTGTTTTGTGACACTGGATGCAATCCAGTCCCCTTCCTACTCTCTTCCTGAACTACCCCGCTCTACTTCTCTTCCCTTTTCTTCCTTTTCTGCTTTCTTTTTGGGCAAATGTTGGCCTTTGGATGTTAAGATGTTCTTTTATAAATGATTAATAGTATTTATAAAAATCTTTTTTTTATACAGTATCTTTCCTTCTAAAGACTTTGATGTACTTTACTTTCCCTTGGACCACACTCCTAAACAAGGGCAACATTAACTATCTCAATGCAAAGTTTGAGAAACTTAAAAAAAACAGAGATGATAACTAAACAAACGAAGTTCTACAACAGCATGGCAGATCAGACATCATATGCTCGATCTCCTATTTAAAGAACAAAGTCTTGTCAGGAAAGCTCACCCTATCCACAGGCCGTGGGTCACACTGCTCACAGAGGTAATGCTCTACGTCTGAATTCAACCCCATACAGTCACAGTGCTGCCACACCTGCAGAATAAAGAGGAAGTCAGGGGGGATTTACAGTTACTGACAAAAAGTCCTAAGAATTAAGAATAAAAAATACAGAAATTAAAAAAAAAAATTCAAAATAGGATAAAGAGAAGGAAAAAAACACCAGGAACTAATAGAGAAGTGAGTAAATGACAACTTAAAGAATAAAAGGAGGGGAAAGGATAAAAGGAGGGGAAGAAGGGGAAGGAAGATGATCTGAAAATGTTTTGCCTGGATGCATGAATATATAGTTTTATAATATATAGATTTGAACATACAAAATGGGAAAAAGAGACAGAATAAGATGACCAATGAATAAAGTACCAAATTACTACATATTAATGAATATCCTTGATACTAGCAATCAGGAGATGTATAGCTTTAAGAAAGTCTCCAAAGTTCTGAGGAGCAATGATGACAATTTAAAGACTAAGGGGCATCTGATTAAAGCCATACTGTTGTGTGGGTGAGTTGAAGCTGACTTACAGCTGACCCTCCAGCAAGCCTTCTGACGCAGTACATCACATGGAAGAATTTTTCTCCCTCAGAGTAGCTAGTGGGTTTGAACTGTGCGCCTTTGGGACAGCAGCACAGCTTCTTACCACTAGGTCACCAGAATGTCCTGATTCAAGCTGTAGTCTTTCCAATTACCTGCTATGCATATGAGAGCTGGACACTGAAAAGGACGACAGAGGGATAATTGATGTCTTTGTGTTGTGGTGTTGGAATAGAGTGCTGACTATCCCATGGACTGCCAAAAGAACAAACAGAACTATCATGGAGAAAGTGCAGCCAGAGTGATCCTTGAAGAGGCAAGGATGGTGAAGCTTCATCTCACAAACCTTGGGCATATTGCTAGGAGAGGCTGCTTACTCCTTGGAGAGGGACATCATGTTTGGAAATGTGGAGGGTCAGTGAAGTAGAGGAAGACCCTCAAAAAGATGGACTGACAGAGCGACTGGAGCCACGGGTTCGGGTGTATTGGGAATGGTGAGGAAGACGCATGATAGGAAAAGGTTCAGATCTGTTGCTCATGGGGTTGCTGAGTCGTACTCCACTTGACAGTACATAACAATAATAAGTAATTGTTATTTTACTTGAATCCACTATCAACACCCACAGAAGCAGTAGTCAAGAAATCAAAGAATGTATTACATTGGGCAAATCTGTTGCAAGGACCTCTTTAAAGTGCTGATGAGCAAGATGACACTTTTAAAGACAAAGGTATGCATGGCCTAAGCCTGGGTATTTTCAGTTGCTTCATTGTTGTTGTTTTTGTTGTTATGTGCCGTTGAGTCGCTTGCGACTCATAGCGACCCTATGTACAACAGACCCAAACTCTGCTCTGTCCTGTGCCAATCGCACTGTCTCTGACACTCCCATCCCGATTATCCCAGTCACTGAATCAATCCACCTCATAGAGGGCCTTCCTCTCCTGCCCCGTCCCTCCAACCTCCCAAGCATGATGTTCCTCTCTAAGGACTGGTCTCTCCTCACAACATGTCCAAAATATGTTAGATGGAGCCTCAGAATCCTTGGCTCCAAGGAGCCACCCGGTTTAACCCTTTCCAGGACAAATCTGTTTGTTTTCCTAGCAGTCCATGGTATTCTCAATACTCTTCTCCAGCACCACAGCTCAAAGGCATCAATTCTCCTTCTATCCTCCCTGGTCATTGTCCAACTCTCTGATGCATAACAAATGACTGCGAAGACCATGGCCTGTATCAGACGCACCTTAGTCTCCAGAGAGACACCACTGCTCTTCAGCACTTTGGATAGGTCCCTCACAGCAGACTTTCCCATGGCAATGCGCCTTTTAATTTCCTGGCTGCTGGTGCCAAGACTGTTGACTATGGAGCCAAGCAAACTAAAGCTGTGTACAATTCATAAGCATGTAAAAATGAGACAATGAGTAAGACTGAAGAATGGATGCCTTTCAGTTGTGGTCCTGGTAAAGAATATTCCATGGACTGCTAAAAGAACCAACCAACCTGTCTTGGAGGAAGTGAAACTATAAAGTTCCTTCAAAGCAAGGCAGGCAGGACTTTAAATTACACATAACACATTTACATTAATAGTTGCCTTCAAGTAACTATGTCAAGCAACATGGTGGAGGGTCTTCCTCTCACCATCCCTCCATCTTGCCAATCATGTTGTCCCATCCCAAGGATTATCCTCTCTTAGCAACATGTCCAAAGTATGTGAGCGAGGCTTTATCATCTTTGCCTCCAACGAGCATCTGGCTGTACATTTTCTTCTTTTGGCAGTCCATGGGATATTCAGTACTCTTCTCCAGTACCACAACTCAAATGTATCAATTCTTTGGACATCCTTATTCATATTCAGCTCTCAAACAATGTTATACATAATGTATAAATTCCAGTGTTTTTTCAAGGTAAAACACTATCTCAAATACTATTATTTTAATTGAGGCAGATGGCATGTGAAACGTGTATGTAAGATCTGGGAGGCAAAAAAAAAAATAAATAAAAAGGGGAAAGACAGGAAGATTGTGAGCACTGATGGATAATAGGCTGGGCTGTATGCATTAAAAGCCTGTGAAGCCAATCCAATAGAGGGAGACGCCTATTTGTTAATCAGGACACCACACACATCAGGACTACACTTCTTCACTTACTGACCCTTACCATGCACTTGTCACACTGGATCATGAGGCCTTCATCCTTGTAGAGACCACAGATACAGCGGATAACATCATCATCCTTCTCATGCCCACTCTCCTTTTCAGAGACTGAGGTCTCACTGCTATCTGCTTCACTTGCTGTCTCTCCCACAATCTCATCAATTTGGGCTGATGCTTCATGCCGGGCATTGTAATAGGCTTTTCGTAGGCGGCAAACATCTCTCCCAATTGGGGATTTACGTCCATAGTATTTCTGAAAAGAGCAAAGATAAAAATCATATTAGGTCTTCTCAATTTTACTTAAAAAAACAACAAAAACCCCCAAAACCAACAACAACCAAAAAAACCCCAGAACAAAACCTAAAAAAGGTAGCTTGGTTTTCTGTACCTGGTTAACACATTTTTCAAAAGAATCACAGTATCAGGCAGTCAGTAACAGTTTATGAGAGCAACAATAATGAACTGAAGTTAGAAACTGAGTGGCAATTTTTCCAACTATTCTACTGCCTTCTGCTTTTGAAATCAGTTTCCATCATGTGTTGTTAATACCACAGGCATAATTAATGTGTAAAATGTTCTACGTCCTGTAGATATTAGAGGCAGAACCAAAGATTCTGAACGTACAAGTGCATCTTGCTTTATTTTATTGCACTGTAGACAGTGGTTGGATTTACTTTTTACAATTTGTGTTTTGGCCATTTTTCCAAAAACGTGTGTTCACTGTGTCTCTCTGTCATGTTAGGATAATTCTCACAATATTTTGGGTTTTTTTCATAATGCTAATACACACTCAGTAAAATGGCTTTACAGAGTGACAATGGGCCTGATCATGATGGAACTGTGACAATGGCGCAGGATAAGGCAAAGCTCAGGCCTGTTCTGTACAGGTTCACTAGGGAGGATAGTAACTTGCTAGCACTAACCACCACCACTCTTAAAAGATTACAGGAGAGTATAAATGTAGCACTTATATACACTGGGAAAAATTTGGTGTAGCTCATTTTCTCAGGATACTTGTTTGAAACAGAACCAGCACTATCTCTGACATATGCCTCTGTTAGGATTATTAAACAGATGCAATGTTTTAACTCAACTCTAATTCTTTTTTTTTCAACTCTAATTCTTATTTCATTTGCTTTTTTCTCTCTCACATATCTTTGGATTTCATCCGGTTCTGTTGTCTAAATACTTCTTCAAAGAATTTAAAAGAACTGAAAAAAATAACCTCTCTTATATACACCATCTTTTCCTTTAAACTCGTTAAAAGCCACGTTGTCAGTGTTTCATTTACTCTGCAACCTATTAGCATGATACTTTTCAATTCCATCTTCAATATTTGTTTAGAATTATTTGTACATAGTTCTGTGAGTTTCATGTAAATTACTGTCTTGAGGGCAGAAATGACATAAATACTGCAAATTTAGTAATATGTCTGTATAAGAAAATTTTTATGAAAACTGTTGTTTGGGGTATAATTTACTCTTCCATTCTAGTCATATAATTGTCTGGAGTATATAGTATTCTACTGTATTTGATGGAGCTCTGGTGACTGAGTGGTAGGAGCTGCACTGCTAACACAAAGGCATGTCACTCAAATCCACCAGCTGCTCCCAAGCAATGTACTGCATCTGAAAATCTGCTGCAGAGTCAGTTGTTTCCAAATCCGTAGTATATAATAACAACAACAAAAGTATTTAATACACTGTGGCACATGTCATGAATATTCAATAAAATTTGTTCATGAAGTTCTAGAATATTCAGGACAAACGTTTCATATCTGTGTTTGAAGTTAGTGAAAAATACCTCAGCATTCCTAAAGACCTTGAGCATGTCAGCATCAAAAGCTTCCACTGTTTTATAATAGCCAATGAGGATCTGCTTCTCAATGGTGATAAGATCCAGGGGATCAGAGATCTTCTCATAATAATCAGCATTCCTTAAAAAAAAAAAAGGAAAAAAAAAGTCAGCATTCCTGGAACATAAGGTCAATGTGTCAATCTACATTCCCAGCATTTTCCTAAAACTCAGATCATTCCCACAAATGTGAACCTACTTTTTCTTTGGGGGGAGATTCAAAAGTGGAGCCGCTAGTGATTGTCGGGAAGAATCTGAAAAAGAATGCACGGTCTATTAGAAGGATTGTAAGATAAGACAAATGCAACCATTAGCTTTCAATCTCAACCAAAAAAGTAGAATCCCTGCCTCTGAAAACCTGCCGGAGGGTCAGCTATGGGTCGCTTATAACTCTATGGTACACAACAACAACATTATATATGCTTTAAATGTAGCTCAAAGTTAGGTGGGTAATGACAAGAACTTCTCCATAAGCATGAGACAAATTTATTGGGGTAGCTGGGCTCCCAGTCAATCAAACTTGTAGTAAAATAACAACTAAAAAAAGATTTTGTTCATTTTAATGATTCCTAACTAATGTTATTCTGTTGGCATATATTCAGATAAATTCCAGATAATAAATAATTTAGTACTGTAATAGTCTTTTATATTTCTTTTCAAGTAACAGTTATTTTCTATTATAAAAACAGAATGTGTGCTGTGGGCTTCATTTCATTTGCTACAATACTGTGCCATTAAGTCAATTACAACTCACAGCAAGTAACCCTAAGAACAACAGATCTGAACCTTGCCCTATCCTGTGCCATCTTCAAAATCTCTGCATTCACAAGCCTATTTTCACAGCCACTATGTCATGTGCTACTTTCTAAATTATTTCAGTGTTGATCAATTCTTTGGTACAAATGAGTCTGTGTATTCTTTCCATCTTCTTCCAGCATTATTTAGTATTTCACTTACAGAATCTCTCAATATTGCAACTCGAGGCTTGCATTTTTTTCTTTAGTTCTTTCAGTTTAAGTAATGCTGACCATGTTTATTGGTCTTCAAACTCCAAGTCTTTGCATACTTTATGTTTTTAAGTTGTCTTCTGAAACTGAAATGTGCAAAGAGCTGGAGTCGGAAAATCAAAAGGTACGAACTTGTTCAGCATTTCTTAAGCTCAAGGAACTGAAGAACAAATTCAAACCTAGAGTTGGTATAATCAAGGATGCTTTAGGCAGAGTATTAAACGATCCAGGAAGTATTAAAAGAACATGGAAAGAATATATTGAGTCACTGTATCGAAAGGAATTGTCAGACACAGAAGAATTTAATGAAATAACATATGAGCAAGAGCCTATGGTGATGAAGGAAGAAGTTCAAGCTGCTTTGAAGGAAATAGCAAAAAATAAGGGCCCAGGAATAGATGGTATATCAGTTGACGTATTTCAGTTAACAGATGCTGTCCTGGATGTGCTCACTAAGTTGTGCCAAGAAGATCTGGAGAACACCACTTGGCCAACTGACTGTAAGAGATCTATATTTTTTTCCTATTCCAAAGAAGGGTGACCCAATAGAGTGCGGAAACTATATAACAACATTATTGACTTCACATGCAAGAAGATTCTACTGACGACTATCCAAAAACGATTGCAATAGCACATCAGCAGAGAACTGCCAGAACTCCTGGCTGGGTTTAGAAGGTGTCATGGTACTAGGGATATTGGAGCTAATGTTAGATGGATCTTAGCTGAAAGCAGGCAATACCAGAAGAATGTATATCTGTGTTTCATTGATTATGCAAGGGCGTTTTACTGTATAGATCATAACAAACTATGGCTGACTCTGAGAACAATGCGAATCCCAGAACACTTGATCGTGCTAATGTGAAACCTGTATGTGGATCAAGAGGCAGTCGTCAGAACAGAGCAGGGAAACACTGCATGCTTCAAAATTGGGAAAGGTGTACGCCAGGGATGTGTCCTATCTCCATACCTTTTCAACCTGTATGCAGAACAGATGATCTGAGAGGCTGGGCTCTATGAGGAGAAGTGTGGTGTCAGGAACGGTGGAAGATCTATTAACAATCTGTGTTATGCAGATGACACAAGCCTGCTCGGTGAAACTGAGGAGGACCTGAAATGCTTGCTGCAGAGGGTCAAGGACTACAGCCTTCAGTATGGATTGAAGCTCAATGTCAAGAAGACAAAGATTCCCACCACTGGACCAATTGGCAGCATCATGATAGATGGTGAAGATATTGAGATTATTAACAACTTTAGTCTTCTTGGCTCCATGGTCCACACTCTTGGCCCCAGTAGCCAGGAAATCAAAATAATGTATTGCGATGGGAAAGTCTGCTGTTAGGGACCTCTCCAGGGTACTGAAGAGCAATGGTGTCACTCTGGAGACTAAGGTGTGTCTGAAACAGGCCATGGTCTTTGCAATTCCTTGTTATGTATCAGAGAGTTGGACAATGACTAGGGAGAATAGAAGGAGAATTGATGCCTTTGAGCTGTGGTGCTGGAGAAAAGTATTGAATGTACCCTGGACTGCCAAGAAGACAAACAGATTCATCCTGGAGAGGGTTAAACCAGGCTGCTCCTTGGAGGCAAGGATTCTGGGTCTTCGTCTGACATACTTTGGACATGTAGTAAGGAGGCACTAGTCCTTGGAGAGAAACATCATGCTTGGGAGGGTGGAGGGCAGGCGCAGGAGGGGAAGGCCCTCTATGAGGTGGATTGATTCAGTGACTGAGGTAATCAGGATGAGCGTGTCAGAGGCAGTGCGAATGGCACAGGACAGAGCTGAGTTTAGGGCTGTTGTACATAGGGTTGCTATGAGTTGCAAGCAACTCGACAGCACATAACAACAAACCAACAACAACAACAACAACAACAACAACAACTGCCAAAGCCAAAAGAACAAACAAGTCTGTCTTACAGGAAGTACAACCAGGTTGCTTCTTAGAGACAAGGATTATGAAATTTCCTTTGACAGACTTTGGGCATATTGTCAGGAGGGGTCAGTCCTTGGGAAAAAAAACATTACGCTGAGAAAAGTTAGAGAGTCAGAAAAAGAGAGAGGAAGAGATGGACTGAGACAATGATGACAACAAACAGGCATGAGCAAGATGGAGAACTGTGACAATGGTACTTGTTCTAGGGCAAGGCTGAGATCTCTAGTTTTCATGTTCTCTATGAGTTGTGGCTAACTTGATAGCTCCTAACAATGGTATCAGCCTCAAATAAATTCTATTATTCCCAGTATGAAATTATTTATTATCTGCTTTCCTTTCATTTTCTTAGGCAAAAAGGCACTATATACCCAAAAAAAGAAAAAAAATTCAATTCCTTAGAATTTAAGGAAAAGAACATGAAGGCACAAGGCTGTAAGTGTTCTTTAGGAAGGTCCAGAGGGAGTGGACTCTCACAACCTCACACGGCCCCACAGCAAAAAGCACACAAAGAGGAGCTTTTTGAATCACCAGAATAAAGAAGCATCGAACTGCAACAACAACAACAAAAAAGCACACAAAGAGCCAGTAGTCCAGACCCATGTTGCCTGTAGAAGCCAACCAACAGCAAGAGGTTCATTTATTCATTGTTGACTCACAGTTCTGGTACTAAGAATGGGGTTTATTTGGGAAGTAGGCTGGAGAGTGGAGGGGACAAATAACATCACCCAATACAAGTCTAGGTTTTAACCTAAGTTACAAGGCACAATTCCTCACTTAGTCCAGGCTCTGATTTCAGTTTAGCAGTCAAATCCAAATCACCTAGCAAGGTTTATCTCAGAGCAGTTATAAATCAGCTTCTTCTTCAAACATCCGTCAAAAAGAGCAAAAATACAAAAAGCCTCACATCACACCTTGCCACAGTCTTTCCCCACTGCCACCAGGGTCTCATTCTAATCTCCCTCAAATCTTGCTGTCACAAGTCTTGTTCACGTCAAGGCTAGCTGCCAAATGTGGGAAACACTCTTTCTATATCCTAGTCCCATAGCTGTTGATGATTTACTAGACCTTGTGTCTACAGTTAAGGCAGCTTGAGACCAGAAGGGGCTAACTGTAATTGTTGGAGCCAACTTTTAGGCTAACATCATAGGAAGAAAGTCAAAGCTGATGCCAGAAGTCGTTTTTTTGGTCAAGATCTACTCCTCCTCTCAAATTTCCTGGTTAAAAAAGTCTCACTTGGAAATAACCTATTTAAAATGGTAAAAATATCCTTCCTCTTTTCACTGACAACACACCCCTAAAAGATGTAAAGGGGTTCATTTAAAAATTTTCTTGGAAATTTATTTCCTTTTTCTTTACGTAGAGTTTCTTACGAACAGGGACACCTCAAAATACATGCAAAATTCTATATACTTTTTTCTTTAAGGAAAGATTCCTAGCTTTAAAGAAATTTTCAAAGATTCTCTCAATCCAAAAAGGCTGCAATGTATTGTATTTCTTAAATTGCTAATTCATGTCCTCATTTGGATAAATGAGCTTGAAGACAGAGACTTCATTTCTTTCTGTCTCAGCTGTATTAGCTGCTTTTCTTCTGCCCCACAGAACAAAAAAATGTACTATTTAAACAATAATAGGATCTAATACAACATAAATTACTACTTAAGTATAACATAATCTGATCTGTGGAATCTACGGATATAAAGCAATAATTTCTGAAGATTGTAATCAGAACCCATAATTTTGTAGTTTGATAAAAGGGAGAAGGAAAACCCCCCCAACTTCCTAATCCTAAACTGTCACTATTCTTGGTGTTGGGCATGTCAAGTGTGGGTCAGTAATGATTTTAAATAAAGGGAGGCAGAGAGAATTTGGAGTGGGTATGGTCACCTTTGTAGGCGATGATACCATCACAGATCTCTTTGAAGATCTGGGCTAGCCGGGCTGCCCGAGCTACTTCAATATTTTCCTCTGCAGCTGCCAATCTTCTGGTTCGAACAGATCGAGCTGTCTGGAGGGCTGAGAACTGGGTCATGAAGACATCTGGAAGGATAAAGTGAAAATTACTTTCAGGCAAAGAGTAGGTCTACATGGCTTTCTCTGCTGCTGTTTGATCCATATTTCCCTTGAAGGGGCTGACCAGATTATGGGACATGGGGCTCGTTCTCTTTGTAACAGAAAAGACAATACTGCTACTAAAGGGGGCTCTAAACTATTACCTTACTGTCCAAGGTTATATAGTGTAATAGTTTAAAGTTTGTGCTTCAAAAGTAAACAGTCTGCATTTGTGTGACATTACTTAAACTATGGCTTAGTTTCTTAATTATAAAATGGGAATAGTGGTAGCACTTATTTCAGAGGTAACTATATATATCATAATACTTTTGACTGGTTATCTCAGTGCCTGAAAAATATTCAGTAACTATAGTTTTAATTACCAGAATATATAAATTAGTTAAAATATAAATTAAAAGAATTTGTCAGTCAAATTAATGAAAAGATGTGACATTTTGAGGCAATATTCTGAAATTATCTTGTTATCACCTAGCAGATACACTCGTGAAGAATGCTTTTGATTTTTTTGAAAGGAAAAACAAAGAACAGAAGGAGAGCATGACTATTCGAACACATTATTTTCAGGTACAAAGGATTCTCAGAAATGTTAGTTCCTCTGCTTTCTTTCTACTCTTGGTAATAGATCTGAATTCAAGATTACTATTCTATTTACTCATGATGGTAAAAAGTAAAATAAAAAAGATACTGAAAGTTTTTTGTGGGTGGAGAAAGGACCTTCAAACAGGCACTAGGTCACATTTTTCTCTCTCAGTGCATCTGAAACAGAAACAAAGAGGGCTACTGTCTATCTTATTCTTAGTGACTATTTCAGGTTGAAGGTGATGTTTTGGAGGCAGGCTGAAGGAAATTTCTATTCTTTGGAAGAGATACAGGGACATTAACCAGAATTCAGTTTACTGCAGACTGAAGTCTGTAGCCTTATAAGGACTGGTTTTTTTTTTCTTCCTTGAAAGTCACTAAAATAAATCACTTTTGAAAAAATCTCGTAAAATTGACAGAACTGTTTTACAGGCCTTACCAGACTTGATGTTTCCGTCATCTCGGCAGATGCCATTCCAGCGGGAATATAATGATGCTGAGTGCATGTTGTCACTGGTGTGCTTAACTTCTTCCTGTTTCTGCCGAATCTTTTCCCAGTTTCGGACTAAGAATACATGATGCTTTAATACAAAGTTTCTTCAAGAAAGAAAGAAGGGCATTCCTTTATTCATTAGTTCAATAAGTATTTATTATATAACTACTGTAAGTAAACCACTATTAGATGATGATGAGTTTGCTGTACGGTTGAAACCAACCCACAATTGACCCTCCAGTGGGTTTTCAGAGGCAGTAAATAGCACAGGAGGAGATACTAGATGATATAAATGAAAATTTATCAGTGAATTGAGTGTTATACACATTATTTTTTACTTCCTCGTGACCACCTACGTGTATTAAGTTTAGAGGATGCAAATAATACAGATCCATAACAACAAAATCTCAAACAGCAAGGCAGATAACATGAGGCCTACAAAAAACTGAACACTTTTGTTCATGAAAAGACTTTATAAAAAAAGTAAACCGACAACCTGTAGATGGGAGAAAAATCTTTAATATATAAAATATATTTTAGGAAGTTTATAGCTTAACAGAAAGACAAACTACTCGATTAAAAAACTTGGCAAAGACTATGGGGGCAATGCTTTCTAAGCTTCTTACTCATAATCAAACATCCTGAGTGAATGAATTACTTGTTTTGAGGTCAAGGGATCATAGACTCTGGGGGATGAAGTCAACAGATACAGTATAGTTCACAAATACAATATTTTACATTCTACTTTGGTGACTACAAGGAGTTCTGAGGCAGGCAGATTTACATCTGCAAGCTGTTTCAAAGGAGAAAAGATGGGCAATCTTCTTCCATGTGACTTACAGGTTTGAAAACCTGCTGGATGGTCAGCTATGAGTTGGTTCTGACTTGATGGTAATGAGGATTTTTTTAAGTTGGTAAGCAGTAACTGGGGTCTTAAAAGCTCTGGTGTAGCTATCTAAGGTACAACTACTGGTTTTTCCCCTGTCTGGAACAAAGGAAATGGAAGAAAAACAAAGTATATTGGAACAATCTGTTCAAAGGACTAATGGAGCACTCAAACTTCCAGGACCCAGAGAAGAGAAGTAGAAGGTTCCTGACTATTGCTACAGACCGTGCTAAAAGGTTTATCAGTAGAAGACCCTGGATAAAGTTGGGGGAAATGTGGAACAAAACTATAAAACTATGACTCTTTGAACTTGGAACAAGACTCAGCCCCCACGGCTCAACTTTCAGGCAAACAATAGACAGGCCTCTAAGAAAGATCTGGTAGCTTAGTGGCAAGGAAATGTGCTGCCAATACAAATGTACATGGTTCAAATCTACCAGTTGCTATGTAGGAGAAAGATCGGCAATTGCCTCTCATGTGATTTTACTGCCTGTGAAAATCTACAGGGTCAGCATAAGGTCAGTTCTGACTTGATGGTACACAACAACCTAAGTTGACATGGGAGGCATTCACTCTTTAGAATAAAGAGTAGCCATTTGCCCAAGGATAAAGCTCTGAAGGCAGTTAAAATGTGGGGCAAAAGGGTTCACATTGTTGTTAAGTGCCGTCAAATGACTCATAAAGACCCTATGAATGAAAGACCTAAACACTTGTATAACTTTCACTGTTCCTCTAAGTTCATAGAGTTTCTGGAGGTAAGTTATTTCGGAAGTGGATGCCACTCCTGCTTCTAGGTTTGTTTTAATCAGGGAGTTCCAACAAACACTGTCCACCATGACCATTATCACATTTGATGCATCAGTGTCACAATGTTTAGCACCACAGCAACCAGGAGTTATCACTGTACAGCAAATGGACAGACCAGTGCTATACCACTTAGAAGAATGTTTGACCAAAAACAATTAAAACCAGGCCTGAGGCCGCAGATTAAAATCACCCACCTTTGTCTTGGTAGTCTTTCTATTCACTAGGATATGAGAATTACAGGGAAGAAGTGGGAAAAGTGTAGGCATTATAATTAACTTTATAAAACAAAATGTGTGTGGGAGGGGTGGGTAGGGAGGAAAATGTGCAACAATGTATGAATGGAAATCCAAGTCTCTGTAAACTTTCATTAAAATTGAAACCAAATAAAACCTCAAACAAAATCAACAAAATGTGTATGAATGACTGAATGAAAACAAATCAATGTGCTTTCTAAATGTTCAAGCAAAAATTAGGAAAACAAAAAAAAAAAAAGGAGCAATTGACTTGGGAGAGCAATTTCACCAAAGAGGATATTCAAAGGGTCAAAAGTACATTAAAAGATAATTATCACCAATATAAAAAGCTAAGGAAAAGTTATACACAGAATCAATCTTGGACAGAGACCAGGGATGAGAAGGGAGGAAGAAGGAAGTAAAAACCAGATAAATTAGGTGAAAAAAGGTGATATAAAACAAGGGTTTAATTATACATTGTGATAAATTATATTAGTCAATTATAATTAATACTATAAAACAAAATGTTTATAAATGACTGAATGAACATCTACATAATTTATAAACTCACTCAAAAAAATACCACTGGGCCACAAACGAAATTTAAAAAAGTAAAAAGAAAAAAAAATTGGTTAACATCATTAACCATTAAAGAGATGGAAATTAAATAATTTTAGTGAGATACCACTTCAATCCTGTTAGAATGGCAATGAAAAATCTAAACAAAACAAAAACTCTAAACTAACAGGTATTGGTGAGGGTGGAGAAACTAGTACTTCACTCATTGCTGATGGGAATTGAAAGTTACTTAACTACTGTCAAAAGAGTTTACCAAATGACTAGCAATTTCAACTCAAGGTATACATGCAGAAGTGGAAGCAGGAATGCAAACAGAAACTCATACACCAGTGTTCACTGCAGCACTTAATAGTGAAAAGGTTATAAAGACCACTGTTAAAAAAGCTAAGAAAAAGTTGACACACAGACTCATTCTTGGATGGTTTCCAGGTATGGAAGGAAAGTAAATGAGAAGAGAATAAAATTTGGCAAATAGATAACATGTACATATTAAAATGAGTGAAGGGGGTAGTATCGAAAAGGATGAACAGCATAATGACACAAAGAAAGGAAAAATAGAGAAATATGGAAGGATTAATGGAAATCACAATTAGTGATAAAGTGGGAAACATACAATTAATTACAGTGCTGTAAGCCCTGAAATGAACGTTATTGAATGTATCAATAGTTGAAGGAAAAAGTAATTTGCTTCACTTAAATCTCTAACACACACCCACATCCTGACAGGGGGAAGGAGGTGAAAAGAAACTTCCTGTTTTAAAAGAATTAGTTTAGGTATACAGATTACAACAACAACAACATACAGATGTATGGAGCTCTGGTGGCCCAGTGGTGAGGAGTTGAGCTGCCAATTCAAAGGCATGTGGTTTGAATCCATCAGCTGGTACACAGGAGAAAAATGGGCAATTTCCTCCTTTGTGATTTACTGTCTGTGAAAATCCACTGAAGCTATGAGTCAGTTCAGACTTGGTGGTACAAAACAATAACAACAACAGTAAAAATGCAGCTAGATGTACAGAGAGCACTCTGGTGGGCTAGTGGGTAAGGAACTGCAGTTTGGATCTACCAACTTCTCTGAGGCAGAAAGATGGGCAATTTCCAGACTTGTGATTTACAGTCTTGGAAAACTCACTAGAGAGTCAGCTGTGACCTCTATGTATTGGTTGCAGCTTAACAGCAGTGAGTTACACAGATGTACAATGATTTTCTAAATAACAAGACAAATCACATTATTTAAAAAAGGAAATCAATCAGGTAAGAACATCTTTTTACCTCTCTCGATTGGACATTGGCTTCATCTGTATTTGGGGAGTCAACCTTGTTGGGGTGTTGATGTTTTCACTGGGCTCCTCAGAAAGGTGACCTCTCTGAAAAAGAGATGGGTCAGATGGCAGAAAAACAAGACAAGTCAGGAATCATCCACCAAGAACACAAAAACTACTCTAAAGATGCCTTCATTCTAAGAATTGCTATTAAGTAGTTGTTTACCCTTTTCTTCAGTTTGTGCTTTGACTTCCTCTTCTCTTTCGATCGTCCAGGTTTTTTATGTGTGGTCATGGGCTGATTGCTTTTGCTGCTGCTGAGTCCATTCATGCGTTGACTCTTGCCGCCAATGATTCCTCGACATTTCTCAAAGCCACATTTACACAGTTGCTTTGAAGAGAAAGCAAAATAATCCTTTTAACCTGAAAAATTATTTCTAAGTTCAAAGAAGATGCCTTAGAGTCTGGGCATCCAACATTAAGTTTGAATCAATGAATCTTCATATAGAGAAAAAAACAACAACCACAACCCAACATACCAACCCAGACTGTAACAAATAAATTATAATATTGAGTTTCCACTGAATTAAAAAAGTAAAGACTATACTTTAGGAAGAATTCTTGACCAGAGACTTAAAAAACAAATTGGAAACCAAAAAAGGACTGAAAAATCTCTTTAATTAAGAGCTTTGAAGTAATAACTGAGATCTATTTATCCCAGAAAGGAACTCTAGTGGCATAATGATTAAGTGCTTGGCTGTTAAATAAAAAGTCAGTGGTTCGAATCCATCAGTGTCTCTGTGGAGAAAAAGACCTGGTGCTCTGTCCCTATAAACATTACAGCCAAGAAATCTCTTTGGTAGATAGTTCTACTCTATTAAGAATTGACTTGCAGGTGCCTAACACAGCATTTGTACTAGAAGCGTCAACAATGAACTCAAACTAAACACAATCATGAAGCTTGCACAATACTGGACAATGTTTTGTAATTTACAGGGCCACCAAGAGCTGGAGACTACTCGGCAAAAGCTAACAAATGTGCATTTTACATGAAGAAAGAAAAAACTACTTTCTCTGATATACTTCTTAATGGCTACGAGCACCACTGTGACAATTCCAATCACCTTCTTACCTGTTTTTCAACATTAAAGGAATGAAAGTTGTAATCATAAGTGAGTTCAGTTCCAGCTGGCATGTCTTTAAGAGCATAGAGTCCAATCCGATAAACTCCATTAACAGACCTATAAAGATAGAACAGAGAGGAGTTAAAAGCAGAAATCCTTAAAACCATGTCTGAAAAACAGAAAAGTGGGTGCAATCACTGACTTTAAACTTGTCTTTCTGCAATTTCTAAACGCTCATGATTTTTTCCTATGAAATATTTTTCTGCATATTATTTCTCCTTTACTAAGACTAGCAATTTTTTCTAGATTCTTTTTTTGTGTTTAAGAGAATTTTATTTTTCTCATCTTTTTTAATTGCTTTTCATACAATCATCCATATACACTGTATTTTGGTTTGTTTTCCCCCTTGGTTGTATCCTGTTGAGTTAGATCCGACTGGCACAGGACGAGACTGTACATCCTTCTCCAGTGGAGCATCTATCTGGTGGGTTAAACAGTGCGGCTTTGGGATTGCAGTGAAGCTTCTTGCCACTAGGCCACCAGAGCTCCCTGTACATTGTATTTTATACAATCTTTCATTTACATCATGTTTCTTTCATGTACAGGGTTTATTTCTAGATTCTTACGAAAGTTAGAATTATTGCATTAGTCTCCTGGCTAATCTCCTTATCTTTAATTTTTTCTTCATTTTATTCAGTCTATATATTATTGCCACATGAATAGCTCTAATTAGTTTTCTTAAAAATACACACAAATAAACAACAACAAATATCGTGTTGTCAATTCTCTTAAAAAGACCTCATTATTTCAAGTACGATAGGTCCTGCTCTCTAGTTAAAGTCTCCTCAAAATATGGCTTATTAATATACTTATTAGGAAGCTCTGGTGGCTAAGGAGTCAGAGTGCCAACCCAAAGGCACGAGGCTCGATTTTAGCAGCTGCTCTGCAGGGGAAACATGGGCAATCTCCTGTACAATTTAAATTTACAGCCTCTTACAATTTGATGGAGGGCCAGCTATGAGTCTGTTCTGATGGCAATGAGTGAGTGGGTATACACTAACATTTATTGAATGCTTATTAATTACAGCATTTTTTCAAACTAATTTATTTAATCCTCAGCTGTATGAAATAGATACTGTTATAAGGTACTTAAGCCTCTCACATTATTGGTGACTCAAAGATACACAGAGTGCAAGTAATTTGCCCAAATTCATGTAACCACAACTCAGAGAATTGAGTTTCAAATCAAGCAGAATAGCTCCACAACCATATAGTTAGTAGGAAAAACAGTCTTCATCAAAGATAACAGAAAACAAAGGCAAGAAGTACACATACATGATAATTTTGGAACCCTGAGTTTAAAAAGAGAAGAATTTCAAACACCAGCTGAAGAAACGGAAGGAAAACACTGAATAAGAAGACAGATGGAACTCTAAACAGAACTCTAAGCAGTATAGCATAGTCACCCTGAAGATTCAACCCCGAATCCTGGTGATCCTATGAACAATGTATCTGAACTTCGTCCTATCTTTGCCATCCTCATCATCTCCATATACGTAGGCCTACTCTTTGAGTCACTGTGCCAATCCAGTCTGTTGAGAGTATTCTTCTCTTTTGCTGATCTTCCATCTTTCCAAACACACTGTCTTTCTCCAAGGGCTGGCCCCTCCTAACAACGTGCCCTAAGTATGTAAGAAGAAGTTTCATCATCCTTGCCTCCAAAGCAACACCCTGGTCACACGTTGTCCAAGACAGACTTGTCTGTTCCAATGCCTTGTCCCCTCTGTGTCTTCCAACTGCCATCTGGTGCCTAGTAGTGTTCCATCCTGGCTGTTCCATCACTGTCTGAGGCTAGGCCTATGCCATTTTGTAACTGGAGCAAGGAATGTGCCTATATCCAGAGACTTCCAAGGGGAGCCAGTGAACTGAGTCATGCCCGGGCTGCCCTCATTTACTGAGGGACACTGCCTTAGACTGAGGCTTTTGTCTATCCCTGAGTACTCTTGGAGGGGACACACCAGGGCCACACTTGGAGCAGTGTACCTTTCTAGAAGTGTGCCATCCTTGGGGATTTCAGGTGGGCAATGACTATCTCTTTATGCTAGCTGTCTTGACTGAGTCGTCTGTCCACAGCCATCCCCTAGATTGGCAAATGTCCCAGGTCCAGCCAGGTGAACTAGCCTATGCTCCTCAGAGACTAGGAGAAACTGTTCAAGGCTGGGTGCCCCACCCTGTGATGTCCCCTAGACCAGAAGAGTGCTTATTTGTGACCCAGATCACATTTTGGGAACTCAGTCACCTTTCATATGAGCAGACACTAGACCTGACTGAATCCCACAACTCTAACCTTTTGTGGGACTAGCAGCCACACTGTCCTAGGTCAGAGAGCAGTGACAAGAGCAACAATGAGGCCTAGCGAACTCTCTGTGATGGCCCCTTCTTTTATGACCCATATACAGTTTTTTGAACTTGTTTATTTTATATATTAGCTCTTAGTTTTCATTCTGATCTGCTTTTCTCTTCTTTTTAGCCTAATTTCTTTTCCTTGCTGGTCGGTCTTTTAATACTTCTTTTTTGACTTTCAATTTTGATTCTCTTCTTTTTTTGTGGTCCTCAGCCTTGCTTTTTAAATTTTCTTTTTAGTCTCCAATCTTGTTTTTGTTTTATGGGTGTTTTCTGTTGTTTTGTTTTTGTTCTTTTTCTTTGTCTGATCTGACAAGAGACAGCAGCAATGTCCAATAACATATTCACCTTCTGTAGCTTTAGCGATTGGATAAGACTAAAGAAACATTCTTGTCCCACTTGACTGAGTGCGACCAACACTGGCTTAGTCTGCCCTCAAACTGCCCTACACAAACAGTGAATAGTGAACTGTACACACCACTGCCATCCTTTATCCACCCACCAAGAGATAGGAGACAAAATACTAAGAATTACCAAACTAGCAGCAAGATAATACTCTTCACATGGCTCTATGAGGTATATCAAAATAAAACAATAAAAAGGAAACAGCACAATGTTTTTGGGGCAACAGTTAACTTTATCTGGCATAAAACCTCCCCAAACTAGGACAACTGAAACAAAAAAGTGACCAAAATATATATCTAGAAAATCTTTCAGAGGAAGAAATGCTACTGGAACTTCTTGTTTATTTAATTTAAAAAATTTTATTTTATTATTTTTTTGTGTGTGTACCATCAAATCAGATCTGACTGGTACAGGAGGAGATTGCCCCTCCTTCCCTGGCAGAGCATCTGGTGGATTCGAACCATGTGCCTCTGGAATTGTAGTTGCAGCTCCTTGCCACTAGGCCACCAGAGCTCCCCTGGAACTTCTTAATAAGGAATTAAAAAAAATGATAGTCAACGCAGCACACGGAAGCAGTGATTTTGCAAATTATTACCTAATCTGGGAGGAACTGGAGAGCATTATGCTGAGTGAACTAACTTAGTCCCACAGGGATAAATATTGTATAAACCCATTATTGTAGAGTAAGTATGAGGATCTAAAGGGGGGGGAGGGTGGAAACAAAACTCAATAAAGATCTCTATCCTTCTCTCCAAGGAGCACTCTACATCTTCTCCAAGACATATCTGTTTGTTCTTTTGGCAGTCCAAGGGATATTCAGCATTCTTCTCCAGTGCATCTCAAAGGCGCTGAAAATTTTTACGACTGTCATTTTTATTCATTGTCCACCTCTCAGATGTACTGCAAGTGACTCAAAAGATCATGGCCCGAAACAGGTGCACTGCAGTGTTCAAACCAACATCATTGTTCCTCAGTAATTTGGAGAGGTCCCTGACAGTAGCTGACTCTCCCAACGCAGTATGTCTTGATTCCATTTTTTTTGTTTTCTTTTACTATTATTTTTAAATTTTATTTTAATAATTTTAATGAACATTTACAGAGATTCTGGATTTCCATTCATTCATTGCTGCATGTCTCTCCACCCCCTCCACCAGTTCACTCCTCTCTTTGAAAAGTAAGACTCCCTCCCTGGTACACAATCCCCCCACACCCCTCCCACTACCCCAAGTACATTACACTATGCAAACTTAATTGTGGACTCTTGTGCTAACCATAATACCCTATCATACATCGCTTTTAAATTATTCTCTCATGTTTCAGTGCAGTATACACAATTTATCGAGTTTTTCTGTCTTACCCTAACCCTGATATCAGTCCCATTTTACAGCAGTGACACCATGCAATATTTGTCCTTCTGTGACTGAGATATTTCACTCAGCATAATGTCCTCCACGCTCACCCATTTTGAATAATATTGCATGAGTTCCTTGTTTTTCAATGCAGCGTAGTATTCCACCGTGTGAATATCCAGCTTTTCTATCCATTCGTTTGTTGATGGGCACCTGGGTTGTTTCCAACTCCTTGCTATTGTGAAGAGAGCTGCGATTAACATGGGTGTGCATATATCTGCTTGGATGTCAGTTATGGTCTCTTTGCTGGGTCAAATGGTATCTCTATATGCAACTTTTTGAGAAAGTGCCATACAGCCTTCCACATTGGTTGCACCATTGTCTTGATTTCTTGACTGCTGGTGCTAAGGATGCTGACTGTGGATCCAAGCAAGATGAAGTCATTGACAATCTCAATCTTTTCTCTATCATGAGGAGCTTTCCTGGCCCAGTGGTAAAGATTTCTGTCTTTGTTATGTTGCAACGTAATCCATATTGAAGGCTATAGTCTTTGATCCTCTGCAGCAAGTGCTTCAAGTCCTCTTTTCAGTGACAAAGGTACAAAAGTACTAAATAACTAACCAACTTAATCTCAGACACATACAGAATGCTCCACTCACAGGACACACACACAGAGAGAGAGAGAGAGAGAGAGAGAGAGAGAGAAGGAAACTGAAACTCTGAAAAGGAAATAAGGAAAATAAGTTTACAAGAGATGAAATGTATAGGAGTAAATCTAACCAGAAGTATAAAAGATCTATACAAAGAACAGTACAAAACTCAAGACAAGAAACCCAGAGACCCATATAAATAAAAACATACCATGCTCAAGGATTAGAAGATTTAACATTGTGAAAATGAGAAGATTACAAAAAGCAATCTATAGATACAATGTAACCTCACGCCAGAATCTGTCAACAA